GTCTGTAATACAACAGTGCAGTGTGGTATAGGGTCTGTCTGCACAATGTGGATACACCTGAAGCAGTTTTTAATAGCAGTAAACTACTTGCAGAACCATGGACTTCAGCTTGAATTGATTTGAACAGAATTTGCAAGTGGTTTTGCTTCTCAGCTTTCTGCTGCAGGTATCCAGATTTTCCACTAGCACCCATGTTGACCTGGATATCACAGAATCATCAAGTTTGGAACAGATCTTCAAGATCATCTAGTCTAACCATCAATGTAGCACACCATAGTCACCACTAAACAAAGTGGATGTGTGTCTATTAGCCTCAGCAGAGATTGCAAAGCACATTCAGATCAAGAATTTTTTGATGATTGTACTCAAAGTAGTCCTGCTTGAGAAAAGGATTTTTTCTTTTACTTCACAAGGTGCTCACTCTTTATCAGCTTCTGGTACCTCCAGATAGAGGTGGGGGAGCTTGTACAATTAGCCCCCAGATCTGAAAATGCAGTAGCAAAGAGATAAAAACCTGCATATTTTCCCTTTCCCATGTCTGCTGCCTCTGAGATCCTGTCTGAGGTTTAGGCAGGTCTGGATCAGCAGATCAATACTTCAAAGACTCTGGAAAGAAAAGTCAGTCCCAGAGTTGTGTAGCCATCTAAATGACTTGCAGCCTCTTTATGGCTCCTAAAACACTAATTTTTCATCTGTGATCATATCTAAGCTGTGATACATTAGGAAGAAAATATCTTCCCAGCTCCTCTAAAGATTCTCTGCTTTACTGTGATCTATATACCTGCCAATATCAACAACAAAATTAGTCATCTTTTTAATCCTTCTTGGATACTGGCGTTTGAAGGCATGATTTGAGACCAGAAATAGAATTCCCTCTTCCCATGTCTGTGTTTCTGAATGTTTATCCTTTATTATGCTTGTCTATATCACCTATCTTGAGAGGAAACACAAGGTATCTATCTTAATAACTCCAGGAATAAGAAAAATACTTGTGAATAGTTCATCTTTTTCAACAGAAGAGGTTTAACACGGAGATGGGAACTTTTTTTTCTTACTACTTCTTACATATGGCTCTGATTATCAGCATAAGAATGCCACTTCAGCCAAACCTTGTCTGTAAACCCAATACAGAAAGGAAAATGTGGTTTCTAACCTGTACTAACTGAGCCAATAGCAAAATGCTGGCATACAGGCAACATTTGCTCTTGTATTCCCCATCAGCTGGTGAGCATGAATGTCCCATGGGTGGAACACATGGGAGTATAAAAGGCACAGTGGCAATGGGACATGCAAGGATATATTATCAATATTGTCTGCTATTTTCCCTTTCCAGCAACAGAAACTGCTGAGATCTGAAGAGCTGCACCTTCATGCTTTTGCTCAATGTTATGTACACTTCAATCCCACTGTCACTGTTCTATTTGCTGCAATTTGGAGATGGGCAGCTTGCTCAGAATGACAGGCTGGGAAGCCCATCTTGCCACAAGCTCTCCTTCCCCTTGAGTGCAGTAAGATGATTATTTAAGTACAAACAGACTCAACCTTTTGGCAGCTGTCAAGAACATTAAAGGTCACTTAATACAGCAATTTTCAATGCATTTTCTGCTGAGTTGGAAGTAGTTCCAGGACAGGGAGTAAGCCACTTTAGTACAGGTACTTTCTAGGCATATATTTTGCTTCAGAGCATTGCACTGCTTCTGCGTGTTCATTACAGTCAGCAATATTGAAAAGTGGGCCAGAGAGCTGCACCTAACAGCAGGCTCACAAGCCATTCCCTTCCCTCATAGTAAGATCTTCCTCAGATCGCCCAACACGTCTCACTCCAGGATGGTTTTGCCCTCTAATGTTTCCTCTGTTCTTCATCAGACTTCTGTCCTCATGTCTTGTAAAACCCCCTATGTCCACATTCCAGTTCCCTGGTTTTCATCATTGCATCCATAAGTAACTAGCAGATGATGTGTGTCCTGCAGACTTTAAAATTTCCCTCCTCCTGCTATCAATGCAACCCTACAGACATACACAGTGTATTTTCCTAATCCCAGACTTCCACAATCTATCTTTCATCTGACACCTGGGACATGCAATGTTGCATAAATTTGTGCCAAAATTATAAGATTCTTACTACCCTCCATTAAAGCTCATATCTAGAGGATGGATTACAAAAAAGCTTGCATAAAGGGGTAGATAAATCAGATAAATAGACTCCATAGAGGAAGAAGATGTCAAGGGGAGACATGTCTATATCTTAGGCTGATGGACACTCACTGACTGACCACATTCACATTTCAGCTTTGGAAATCACACGGGCAAAATAGACTGCAAGGCCTCACAAATCATTAAGCAATATGAATGATTTTCAGTTCTGTATTTAAATGTCAACTTTTTTTCCGAATGTAGCAACAAAGCTTCATACATACAGATTGCAAGTTAGAGTGGCAGATGATGGTAGGTGCCTCTGTCTTATGGTAAAATATGTGAGAGAACTGGAACATATTCCTGAACTACTAAGGCAGAGCGTGTCCTACAGCACCACCTAGCAGGCTAATTTAGAAGTGGTCCATAACCCAGGATCCCTGACTACAACGATGTGTATGTGCATCAAAGCCAGGGTGCACTTTGGTCTTGTTTCACCTTCCTTGGTGTAACAGCTGCTTCTTGAAACCAGAACCACGCCAACGTGGTGATTAGTAAAGCTGGGGTGTCTGATTTTCCCAATCGTATTTATTATGAATCTCTTAGGAGAAATCATTGTAAAAATGCAATGTCAGATTTTTGAGGTTTAACGTAAGAAAACCTTGTTTTCTAGATCTCTTCAGCTGGTGCAGAAGCACGTCTCAAAGTCAGATTTCATAAACCCACCCAACCCTCTCTCCATATTCACCAGTAGGCTAAGTAAGTCTTAGTGTGATGAGGGATTTTAAAAGCCTGAGAGTCTCTGTGTGTTTCAGTTAGTGGGAGTCTGTTGTCCGTCATCACCTACATACACTTTTTCTTTGTACATCTGCATGAACTATGAATATCAATGCCAACTTACACATTGTAAGTTTTGGAAGATGACGAATTCCATGCTGAGGCTGTAGAGCAAAGACTGTAACAGCTCTCTGCTGATATAAAGAAGGAGGTGAAGCTTTTTTAGGGTTTTTTTGGTTGTTTTTTTTTTTTTTCCTGGCTGCCTCATACCTTTCTAAAGCCTTGGCACTTCTCAGAGTTTTCAATGCTCCCATTCTGCTCGATAACCAAGCAGAAAATGATGCCTTTTTGTCTGTTACTATGTTTTCTGCTAATAGTGAAATAAATGTGGTGCATAAGAGGGTCTGATAGGTAACAGAGCTGGCAAAAAGTGGCTCAGAGAGGGACAGGTGAAAAAGGTGGGATCTTTCCTCCTACTTCTCCCTTTGGGTGGCAGCAAACTATTCATCTGCCTTGCCATACTGCCTAAAACCATAACCTAAGGGTAGAACTGTGCCCTGTCATGAAGGAGAGTGTTTTCTTAGCAATTACCAATCTGTTTATTGGAAGTTAAAACCAAGGTAGCTTCTGCTCACAACAGGCTATGCCTAGCCAGACCTGTTTAGCACTGGCATTTCTAAAAATCAGATCATCTAGTAGGAAAAACATAGCATAAATATCTTCATTAGGATACTTTCATGAAAGTCCTAAAAACCCCCATGAATCTGAATGAGAACTCCTAAGTATGCAGTTTACTATCTTAATCCTTTCAATATGAACTCAGATGTTGTGCTAAAATGTCTGGGAACTAAACCTCTACGGGTAAGAAATACTTCAACCAGGGGCTGCTACAAAGAAAGCAAGATTTGTCAAAATTAATCATAAGTAAGAACAACTTGCTTTTATTTCTATTCTGTTGCCTCAACCCACTACCCAGCATAATTTCCATTTCGCTAGTGAAAAATTATGACCCTATCACTGCCTGGTGTGAAGGGACACTAGAACAATCATCCAGCATCAGTGCAAACTTTCTATAAATGAGATAAACCCGACCTTTTACTATCCCCTACCCAATTAAAATCCTAACCTGGCCAAAAGCTATTCTGTATTCTTGTTTTGGAAGGACTGCACATGCCAGGGGCTAGGCTGTACTTCCCAGAGCTCTGCCCTGGGATGCCAGTGTTTCCAAAGGCTGCTGCTCTGCCACCCAACTACTCTGCACTTCACATCTCTCCAGGGCTCTCGGAGTGCCCAGGCTGGGCAACAAATCCACACGGCCTCATTGAGAAACTACACTGACAATCTGCTTTGAGCAGTGACTATAAAGCAAATTAAAAAAAAATATCCCTTCATGTCTTATTTTCTCATTAGGAATGACAGAGAAAACAGATCCTATGCGACGGACGCCAGCTTTGTCATTTTGCTGCCTTCCCGGCAAGCATACCTGCCCTGCAGTGGAGAGGGCTGTGTTGATAATACAGATGTAAAGTACTTTGCAGGAAGAATACTGGGAGTTATAGCACAAAACACAAGCGCACAGAATTAATTTGTGAGGCGAACAGAGAGCGGCACCCCCGCCTCACGCTGAGGCTGCCCTGTGAGGGGACGGGGAGGCTGTGAGGGGAGGATGTCTCCTGCTCTTCGCTTGCACAGGCAGGGGTGCGATCTTCTCCCCGGCCCGCTCCCCCGAGGCCAGGCTCGGGCTGTGTCACTGCAGAAACACTCGGGCAACACCCGGGCCGCTTTGAGGCAGCCGCCCCCCACTTTCCCGAAGCCAGATTTGGGCTGTGTCACTGCAGAAACACCCGGGCCGCTCTGAAGAAGCCGTCCCCCACTCTCCCGAGGCCAGGCTCGGGCTGTGTCACTGCAGAAACACCCGGGCCGCTCTGAAGGAGCCGCCCCCTGCCCGCCCCTTCCGCCCGCGGCCCCGCCTGGGCCCGGGACCCGCGGTAGGTGCTGGGGTGGCTGAGGTGCGGGCGGGCCGGGTGGCTCCCGCCCCGGGGTTGTGGTTTTCTGTCGCCCTCCTCTTCTAGAGTCTTAATTTTCGTGACAGCCGGAGCCCTGGAGGCATGTCCGGCCCGCGCCCCGTTTCTTGATTGATTGTGCTTTAAGCAGGGCTCTCATCTCGACTGCGTGCGATTTTAAAGCAATAAATTCAGTAACACACACGTGTTGTGGCCAGACCTGCCTAGATATCCCCCATCTGAACTTTAGCTGTTACAGTTCTTTGAGTTCAGTGAGAATTAAGTGCCTGTGACGCCACAGGGATAGAAAGTACTTCAGCATTTGCGGGAGGCCGCCGTGTAAGTGTGGTGGTGGCTTCATGGTTACTAAACGATTAAATTTACAGGATATGGGCCATATAAATTGCCTTGCCGTTTCCGGTTGCTTTCCTCATACATAAATTGCACAAAGTTTATGAATTAAAATAATTATGCCATACACGGTTAGAGTCTTAGTGGGATATCTGCAGGAGCTGAGCATCTGCACTGACCCTTGGGCAAAGTTTAAAAGCATAATTGCTAAAATGTATTGTGGGCATTTTTCCTTTTATTTTCCTGAATATGGACTATTATGAGAAAGCAAATACTGTGTGGCATTTCCTGCTTACTTTTGCATTCGCTGATCAAGATCACGTTTGACCATGCAAGAAAGGAGAGTAGAGTTTTCAGGGTGGTCTGTCTTTCCCCACGCAGGTGTGGATGGAAGCTGAAGAGGGAATTTTCTTTTCCTTGCAGCATTTCTAATCTTAAAACTATGTTAGCCAGCTCCAGTGAGAGGGCATTCTCTGACAGGTGAAACCTGTAAAGTCCCTGCCTCAGCTTCACATGAGGATCAAGTGATAGGTTCCCTACAATCATCCCCTTAGAAGTGCTTCCCTCTGCACTGTAAATGACATGACCTTTTCAATCAGATCTAGACTACCAGATTTGCTGAGAGGTCATAAACTTCAAAATGGTCATTTGAGTTTAAGTATTACCATTTTCTGGGTTTTAGTTCTATTATCAAGGAGATTTTCTCCTGAAATTTAGTTTCATCCAAGCTCTTGGCTCTTTAGCAGGTTTTTCTTAAATAGTATTGTCAAAAACCTCACCTCTGTCTTCAGCAGAATGTAAGAATACCCCTAGTTATTGCACTAAGAAATACATATTAAATTGCTGTATGATTACATACATCATTGTTTTTATTAAGCACTCAGTGTGTGTTCTGTGCAGCATAAACATTAAACAAGATTATTCTTCCCCTGGTGAATTTAGAATCTGAAAGATCTTAATAGGAAGGAGTAGTAATAACATATCATTAAAACACCACCTTTAAATTAATCTCTTTTTGTTTCCCTGTGGTTAACACTCATTTGCTGTTGATAATGACTGGTGTATCCTGGCATGTCTTGTAGTGCTGTTTGATGATGTTACAGACCCCAGTTGTCCACGCTATCCCTCTGTGAGAAGTTCTTGTCCAGCACATGTGGAAGGAGAGCATATGTCCCTGCTTCAGCTGCTGCCATACAAAGCCCAGCAGCATAGCTGAGACCCACCTTTCATGGTACTCCACGCTTGGTTGTTGTATCAAAGCACAATTTCCTTCTGCCACCGAGGCTTCCTGTGAGGACAGCTGGAAACACTCATGTCTTTGACAGCTGCAGCAAGATTCTATGGAGCTCGTGTGTTAAAGCCCTGAGAGAAGAGACTCTGCAAATGGAAAGAGTGGCATCCACAGTTTTCACTGATTTCTGTTGGATTTAGGTGCCTAATTCACTTTTATACCTTCATAGTAGTATTATTCTAGGAGGGAATTCTGTAGCCAATAGATTTTTTTTTTTTTTTTTAAGAAGAGATTGGAGCTTTCCTGGGCAGAGCACATAATATGGCTTGGATTACAAAAAGAACTGATGCTTCCCAAGGGAAGCAGGATGCATGAACTGGATGAGTTGGCAAGTTTGAGAGTTTTTAAGTTTATTTGCTTATTTAAAGAGTCGTAATATAGTCGTAGGCCCTGAAACAATTTATGTTCCAGTTTCTGCTCTAGACTGAAAATAGTATTTGTCAGAGGAATTATTTCAGAGACAAATTTTTAAAAGTAGCTACTGAAAGCATGCTGTTTTCTGAAAATAGCTTTTTGCTGAGTGAGCTAGAACCACTGCCTGGAAGCTGAAAGCTGAAAGAAAGGAAAAAAAGCAGTGTAGAAAAAAAACGTACTGTTTCTTGTTGGTTTTGGTTGGTTGGTTGATTTTTTTGTTGTTTGGGGTTATTTTTAATAGTGAGTTTGACTATTCATCAGAGCAAACTCCTAAAGGAAAATTCTGTCTCCTGAAATTTTTCAAACCAAAATCTGATCCTGTTTTGAAAGTTGTAGTTAAACTCAGCTTATTGAATTTAATATTCATGTCACTGATTAACATTTTTGCACTGTAGAGGAGATTGGCATAGACTGATGTAATTATTGGCTCTTTCTGACCTCAATACCTGTAGACTGTATAGTGGAAGGTAAGAGTGGGATTGTGCTAGCAAGGACTAGACAAGTGTGTTGGGTTAATACAGGGTATGTATTGATTGTTGGGGGAGGAGGAAGTGTGGTGGCTTTAGTACTGTTTTTATTGTGGTAAATTGATTTACTGGAGGAAAGGGAGAACTTAATTCTTAATATAAATCATCCTGTGTTGCAAGGTCCAAAAATTATTGCATATCTCTTCCTCCGTAAAGATATTTTGTGTTTTGTTAGTGTAAAAAGATGTTTGTTTGGGTATTGTGCTCTGCTTCTTCTCATGTCTTTTGCTTTGGTTGTTTGGGGTTTTTTAAGTGCTAGAGAGATGACAAACCTATCTATGCACACTTTAATTCCTGATTTTGTGTTACGAACAGGTTAGGATTTGACTATGGCAGTGCGGTTCCTGCGGAAGGCGTCTGTGTGGTTAAAGAAGCACAAGATCGCTGTGTTGGCCGTTTCTTGCATGGGACTGCTTGGCACTAACCTTTCCTATCATGTGTTTCCTGAGCAGACATTCAAACTGTTGCATGAGTGTTGGTCAGAGGGGCAGCCAGCTGAGCTTTCAGAGAAGCTCTGTGGTGTGTTTCAGGATGTCCTTCAAGATACTGGTGTGAAGTCCAACTCCTACAGAGCCTTTGCAGCTTCTGGCTTCCATCCTGTGAGCGCTGGAATTCCCTGGCTGCCTGCAGGCTCTTTGGTGGGCATCCCACTTAACTTTGATAGCACAGCTGAGGATAAAAAAGGAATAGTCAACCATGTAGTTGTAATAAATGGCAAGAAAGTAGACTGGGAGAGCAGTGAAGGCATGGCTTTGAAGGAAGCTCTCACATTTTCCCTTAAAGCTCAGAAATTTGCCATTGCCAGAGAAGTTGTGTACTTGCAGATTGGCAGTCCTTTAGCAAGTGCAGTTGTGGCTCCGACTTGCTTGGCTGGGACGTTTGTCTGTGGGACAGCTCTAAAGCTGCTTCTGGGGTTATCCACAGGCCCCCTGATCCTCCGTAGCCTCTGTAACCTCGTCACTGCCATGGGAGGGCTGCTCTGCTACAGCATCTCTTCTGATGCCATCACCTATCAGCTGGACTGCAGGGCCGACAGGAAGGCAGCCAGGCTCTCCGAGGACTACGCCAGAGGTGGCCTTGAATTTTATGATAAAATCTTGTTCCGCAACAGGATTTTTCGTGGTCTGATGGGCAAACAAGGGATGGAAATGTATGCCCCGAGTGGTAACCTTTTCCCAAGGCACTGGTTCAGAATGAAGTATACCCCATACACTTACCGGAGAACTTTGATTGTTAATATTTTAAGAGAGCTCCAGGCATCAGATAGGAATGCTTGAATTTTAAACCTGTGAATTATGTATTTTGGAACACCGCTGTGCTGCGCTTTTTTTTTCCCTTCTGTATCTTCATTAGAATTTTGGGGTTTATTTTTGCATATAGTTCAGGAAGAGTTATTGCACGTTTCTTGAATAAAGAATTTTCTCTTAAAATATTAAAGACTTGCTTCTAAAGTGCTCGGTTCTGTGTGCATCTCAATTCACAAGACTGCTGAGAAGGGAAACTTTTCAGACACTGATCTGGAAGTTCTGCTGTGCTGCTTTGCCTTCCTGCTATTTCAGTCTGGCAGATTGGGAGGGGCAAGTCCAGCAGAGAGTTTTGGGATCATTATAATTTAAACTGGGGTGTTTGCCGTTTCTCCTATGGAACAACACAAAGAAATTTTATAAAACAGGCCGTCTTTATCATGTGGTTACATAAATATCAAGACACAGAGTCTTTCTGTTCTGTGTAAGTTCTTGTGCTGTGTATATTCATACACTGCAATCACCATTCTTCAGTAGGATCCATTAGTTATGCTGTAGTTCCTACCAATACAGACAAATTATTACCAGCACCTGCATAATTTGCTTAAATCTAGTTCTGCTCTCTCCAGGGCATAGTGAACGCAGTGTCACTGTCAATGTTTCCCAAGAGTGGTAGTATGTAACAGGACTGTCCTGGGTTGGTTGTTTTCTCACAGGTGGGATAAGCATATTGAGAAAAGGTTTTTCTGCTTGCTTTGGTATCATTTTTTGTTTCATTTAAAAATAAGTGTAGATGTATGTCACCTCTTACATCAGTAAAGGCAAGGTATGAGACGTAAGTCTGGCATTTGGTGCAGAAACTGATGAGGAGTTGCCAAAGGAAATCATTCTCCTGTATCTGACTGGCTTAAGAAGATTTTGTCTGGCAGGCCAAGCTTTGCCCAGGATTATTAATCTTCTGGAGAAGTCTTTCCGCTATAGCTTCACTTTGATTTTCAAGGTGATAGTTCTCAAACTCTGTGGTTCCCTCTTCTCTATGTTTCTGTTGCTGTTCCCTGGTGACATCAGAGTAGTTCTCCTCACCTCTGTCATCATTCCTACCAGCAACTTCTATTTTGTGTCTTCTCAGTCAGAGATGTGCTGAGTGTCCTCTCTGCCCTGGCTTTGTCCTTTCTTCATCTGCTACAATAAAACTATCATGCCTGTGTTTGCTCAAAGCATTACTGAGTTCTGTTTTCCTTTTGAATCACATGGTGACATAAAATTTATATTCTGGCTGCCGAAGCACTGCTGTGGCTTTCCATTGCTGAAGCCATGTGTGTGAGATGTTTGAGTTTCTGCTGAAGTAATCTGTGCCTCTGAAACATCACCTATTGCTTGCACTTGTCCTCATCTTATCAAGTCATTAGATGCCTCTGGTACTTTTCTTACTGTTAAGGCATAAAACTATTGTTTTTGTGCCCTTTGTGAAAGAGTTTGATAAAATTTCCTGGTCTGTGGAATGAAAAGAGACTTTACCTTTAGGCAGGAGTCTTTTAAAGCTTTGGGCTAAATCTTTTTTTTACTTGTCTTCCAGGTAAATCCAATATAAGACATCACAGAAGTCTCTTGGTAGAGTGGCATAGTGACTCAAGACTGGAATATAATTCCTGGTTTATATACCCTGTGAGTTCAGTTCATCCTTCTGTTACTCCTTCAGACAAGTCTAAACTCCATGAAATATTCTCAGAGAGAACTTGGCCCACTTGGTTTATGTGGTTGAAGGAGTTGCTGCTACATAAAGAGCGCAGAGAGGAAATCAAGGCCTTCTTGGAGATTTACAGCAAGTAGCAGTTTAAACAAAATTAAATTAATCTACTTGTCTTTTACCACTCTTTACTGTTGTTTTTCATCAAAATGCCTGCAGCTAGTGTGGCTGACATTCTCAGGGTGTAAAGCCCCAGTGATGCTAATAGGTTTTGCAGTTGTGCATTTCACTTGACTCTTAAAGCAGGATTCTTCAAGAAGCTCCACATATCTATAAATGCTGTGTCCCATTTACCCTTCTTTGAACTTGCTGTGGCACACTGCTGTTGGTGAGGAAGGGCTGGCTAGCATCAAGACACATGCCCCTTCTTTCCAGAGACAGATTCTTGTCAAGGGCTTACACACCTCCATCTCTATGTAGTTGAGCACAGTGTCATACTGTCAGTATAGGGAAATCAGGAATTGCAATCACAGCTGCTAAGTAAGATTTCCCTGAACTTTGGGAATGCACAGATTGTTCTGGAAAAGATTTTTGTGTGAGTGTGTTGCCTGGTAATTGTTGCTTGCAAGATCGCCCATGCTATTTGGCAAGTAAGAATAGCACAACTCAAATAAATGGCCATGACAGTGCTCATGAAAAGTCTTTTATTATACTGCGGATGTTTTTCTGTAGGCAGAATTATCACTGAAATCAAACATGAACTCCACATATTGGTGATAAAAATGGTCTGGTTTCGAGAGTTCAAGGAGCAAGCACCCCAGAACTAAAGGTGGCAATGTTCCATGTTAGGAATGGTCTGACATGGCAAAGCAAGTTCGTTCAGTGGCCCAGAAAAGGCCAAACAAATCAGTTTGTAAATCGTGTCAGTGAACAGCCTCCCCCAGCTCTGAAGCTGAAAATCTGAGGAATTTGAAGAACTTGTTTTTGTATTAACTGGCTTGTCTTTTGCTGCTCAAACAAGCAGACTTTGTACAAATTTTTGTGTAGAAATGCAACAAGAAAGTTAAGCTAAAAGGAATTGCTAGGAGTTGTTGATAAAAGAAGACTAAATCTGGTAACTGTAAAAGCAGAGTGGAATAATGAGATCTCATAAAAATGGATACTATCTACAGATATGAAGCTCTCTGTCTGGTAAAGTGATTAAAGGATGAAGAAGTATGAGTAGCAAATGACCAAAATGAGTTGCTAGTTTAAATTTAGATAAAATCTAGTTTAAAGTGGGATTTGCTTGACTGGTTTATTTGTGTTATGCTGAATGTTCTAGGTAAGTGAAAAGAAAATTATCCTTGTAACTTTTTTTTTCTATAAATGTGATTCTTGCTGCTACATAAAGCTTTAGTAGGTGATGTTGCAAAAAATGAGGGTCACCAAGGTGCTTTGCTCAGAATTCCCACTGAAGTGCAAGAAACGACTCATATACTTCTTTATCCAAAGAATTGCAGTTTCTCATTGTGGAATTACCTTCAGCTTGTTGAGTGGTCAAAAACATAAAGTTGTCAGAAAAGAGCAAGATGGAGAGCTAGACAATTTTCTTGAAGACAAACAAGCTGTGTAAGTCATCTGATTACAGCAATTCAGAGAGAGGGGAATCTCCACCCAGGTGGCATGTGAGTAAAGTGTGTGGACTGGTCCAGAGGGGTTCAGTTGAAGTATAGTGGTCCTTTGGAAAACAACCTTTTTTATTACAGTAGAACACTGCTATCACCCCTTTTCACGTTAATGTGGTTTTCAGAATTTGACAGATAAGATGGTGAGAGAGCTGACAGCAGAGCTGTGGAGCTTCTTGCCCTGCAGGGAAAGCTGGTGATGTTGGAAGAGGTGATGCTGGGAAGAACCTACTGCTGTTGTTTTGCCCTTGGCTGTAGCAGTTGTGAAACAACCACAGTGACAAAGTGTGGCTTGCATGGGTGGAGTGTGAATTTGAATGTATGAATCAAATTACCAGGACTGAAACACAGGTGGCTTTCACCAGAGGAACAAATGCAGAGGATCCATCAAGGAGTCAGTACTGCTATGTGCAGTATATGAGCCATATCCTGCAACTGTTATCTGCTCCTGTTCATTAAAAGCTCCATGTAGCAGCTGTGATTACATTAATATAAGAATTAGTAAATTGCAGACAATCTGCTATCCGTGCATCCAGTCTCTCCTTGATTTCTCTAGTCTCAGCTGGAAGTGTATGTTATTGAAAGGCAGAATGCCTTTCAAGCAGAAGAATGCTAATGTAGGAAGACATGCTTAAGATCTTGGAATAAGGAGGACACCTTCAGGAAGAGAGAAATTTGGTTGTTGTCAAAACCAGACTTAAGAACAGAAAAACAACATCATTATTCTCCAGGAGTTGGTATGCTAGACTAATTAAACTGAAGGCACTGAAAAATGGCTTATGGATGTTTTGCTGGGCATCTTTTTCAATGAGAATATATTACTTTGTTAAGCTGAAGTGATTATATTCAGGCTGCTCAAACTGCCAAATCCATAAAGTGGAGAAAATTCGTAAAATTTGGCCAGAAACCAGTCTGTTTTTCCCATCTGGAAAAGTACAAGCCAAACTCTTAAGCTTCAAAGCCAGAAATGAACACTGAAATATCTCTGTGGTTGGAAGTCTTTACTCTCCTCAGTTTGCCGAAACTATCCAGGTTTCGGCAAACAATTTGCAAAATCTATCCAGGTCTCCAATTCTGAAAGAAAGAGTGTTCTTAAAACCTCAGGTTTGTGTCCAAAAATGCAGTTTGCTAAATACAGCCAACCCAGGTGTATGGTTTTTTTTACTCCTACCTTAGTTTTTCTATAGGAAAAATATACTGCCAGAAAAAATTGTGGTGCTCTCCGCTTGTTTGAAAAAATAACTGTCCCCCAAATCATGCTTACTGGAGAACTTTCTCCTGTTTAGTTGTTTGTTTTTGGTTTTTTTCCTCTTATAGTTGAACTTCCATTGTCTGGAAAGTTGGTCCCTTTTCCAGTGCTGACCTGGTTTCTCAGAATCACTTTCTGCTTTGGTCTGCAGGAGCATTACCTTGTTAATGTAGTCAAGGTGTTAACAGCTTCTTTCAGTATAAATGAGTAGCAGATGAAGCTGAAGCTGTGTCCTCCTTTGTGTATGGCAAAACTACTTCTGTAGAAGTCTTGCAAAACATTCTCATTAGGGTGACTAAGAGTATTTAGAAAACATAAGACATTGTGAGCCTGATCCCAGGTTCACAATTCCAGCAGTTCTTGCAGAGTGAACATGAAGAAAGGAAATGCAGTATCCAAACAACTTTTATCCACTAACTGTTTAGTGGTTTAGTGCAGACCTGCTGACCTCTGGAAGCTTTGTTTCTATCATATGCTGGAAATTTTCCAGTGGGAATGTTGTTGTTTCTTCATTCTCTGTTTCATTTCTCCTTGTCCTGTTGCTCTAATTGCCTCTTCTGCTTGCTGACTCATCTTAGAAGCTGCTTTAGCTTGCTCAACCAAGATTTGTGAACTTTTAAGTGCTCACTTTCTGCTTGCACTTTTCATTTGCACCTCCTACTTTTTCCTACAGTACTTACCTGCCAAAGACCACAGCAGCTTCAATTCTCCTGTGTTTTGCTACATTTAGTCTACGGGGTTTTTTTCTACCTTGTTTTTTCAAGGAAAAACACTTTTGACTACATGAAAAATAGGCATTTTGGTTAAAACCTTTCCTATTTTGCAACAAGAAAAGAATTGTTACTTTTGAAATTTCCATTTAGCATTACTATTTAAAAGATGTATTTCTTATTCACTGCCTATGGCACCCAGTTCACTTTTGATCCTAATTTGCCTCTGTCGCTTTCAAGATGCTGCTATTCGCATTAAGTCCTTAGAAACTTTGTTTCCCATTCCTGAAAATTGCAGGGTATTTCATATACTTCTGGCTAGGTGAAGTATTGTGAGTTGAGAAATTATACCTAATGTAGTGGAAAATAATCCCCACATTCCTTACATACTCTAAGTCTTGACATTGTTATTACAGAGATGTGTACTGCACAAGACTTGCAATACATTCTGTAACCAATTGCATCTGATTTCTGGGTCATCTGCTCAGTTCATCCTCACGTAGCACCTTTTCCAGCCCTTCCCAGCTCCTTAGATGCAGGCCTGTTCCAGGTACTCCAGGTAACAAAAAGCTTCTGCTTCAGCCCTCTTACCCAAACCGATTCCTCTTCAGTTCTCCTTGCCCTGGAAGTAGTTGCTGCTCTGCCACTGCAGATTTCACCGTAGCAGCCCCTGATTTAAAGGAGTTGAAAACTCAATATGATGGTTCCCAATATAATGGTTCCCTCTCCAACTTCCACTAAGCAACATATGGCAGTTCAGTACCACAGTGGCTCTACCAGGTATGTTGATCCAAAAAGCCCATGCTGCAGCTTATTTCCAGCCAGAGAGAATGAAACTTTGCAGAGTTCTGTTACCACAAATATAATAGTCGATATCAATGTGAATTGGCTAAGACTGAAGCCATAATTTGTGATATAAAAATAGGAAGTGGAATTTTAGAAGTGAAAACTAGTAACTTACACCACTGTAGCTATTAAGAGGTTTAACTTATATGGAAGAAAAGATGAAGCTATAATCTGCATTACTATTTTAAAGCTACATTGATTCTTCAATTAATTACTGTACAATAAAATTCTGGATCAATTTCTCAGGGAAGATTGAAAATTAAGATCAAGTCACATTGTAAATAACAAGCCTAGTTTTGAAAAAAAAAAAAATTTTCCCAATTTTTTATTCTTTATATTCTGACTAGACTGGAGGCATCTATATAAATATTTCAGACAACAGAGCATGGTAAGAATGACTCTGTAGAAAGGTTTCCTTGTAAGATCTTTCCTCATTTGGGATGAGTTTCACTGCCTCAGTGACTGTGTTTTAAAAGTGTGTTATATAATTCTCTGTAGATACCCATAGACAGATGTATTTATGGTTTTTGGAAACTTCATGTAATTTAGACATAAAACTTGAAGTGTGTTTTATAGTTCCTCATTAATAATAGTTGAGAATTATGCTCATCTAAGGCAGCACACATAAATTCTTAATGTTCAGACATTCGTTATATTCTTGTGATGGTTAGAAGTTGCCATAGGAAAATAAAAGCCAGTGATCCCAAAGATTATTATTTATATATATTCTTTTAAGCAGTTTGGAAAATTGCATTCATCCCCTAACAGTTATTTCTCTTCAATTTCCACATTCTTCATCTTAACTTAAAGATGTCATACTGAGTATTAAAAAAGTCAAATCAGGAACCAGATAAACTTTTTATTAAGCCTGGCAGCACCTTAAAAAGGAAATGCTGAATCCATCATTTTATGGAAGTTATAAATTCAGGCAGTTTTTTTGCAATCACAGTTTAGAGATCCCAATTGTGTTTGCTTGTATCATATTTTAAAACTGTGGCACAGTTGCATTTGGCTGGATGACTTGGTGTGTGTATGATGGCTTTACACCTGTGAAGCAGGTGAAAATGCAACGGTTTTTTCTTGCTTTTCTGGCCAGAACATAATTTATGTGTTGCAAATTGAAGTCATGCGTTAGCAATAGCAATTGAACTGTAAAAGCATTTCTTTCAATTTTTCTTTTTACTTTCCAGTAGAAGAACTGGATATGTAAATCCGTGGAAATGGTCTGAGAGCTGAATGAGAAGAGTAGTTGTGATTTTCTACATATTAGGGATTCCTTTCAGTTAGTATTAAAGAAAAAAATCTCTGCTGAAACCTCACAATAGATGAATCAAAAAAGGTACATTTTCTTCTAGAGTCATGTGGTGACCAGATCTTTTTTTCTGCATATTCAGTGAGCAAAAAAAAAGTAACTAAACATGGTGGCATGTTCTGAACAAGCAGTTCAGCTGGCACACACATATATTGTTTCCTTGATACAGATAAAAAATTCGCTTGCATTGGAAAAGTGTTATGTGGACATACTAAAGGGAAGTTTACCTGTATCACAGATTTCCCAAATTTTACCTGGCTGTTTCTGAAGTTTCTTTTATTCTGAGGCTGGAAGAAGATTGGATGCAGCTTTGAAGTCTGCAAAAATGTGTGTGTGCATGTTCCAGGATCAGATACGTCCAAATTTTTTCTCCTTTTACTGAGCATCGTCACCTTGGACTTTCCAGTCTGATGTCTGGTGTGAAATAATTGCTCCTTAGCTGTGTTTTTATGGGTGTTGGATGCATGTTGGCTTCAGCTGAAACTATGAAAGCTTCTGGAAAAGAACAGACCTACTGTGCACTAGTTTTCTTTCATGGCGTTGCTCTGGTTTTAATCTTAAAGATTTTCTACTGAATTTTGCTTTGAGTGGTATAGAGAGAGCCAATATTCATGGCCAAATCCAGCAGAGGTGCTTGCCTAAAACCAGCAGGAGGCATGGCTGATGATGTGATACAAATTGGAAGTTATGAAAGGTGCATCACCCCAGCACACCTCTGCTTACTTGGCAGGCAGAATGCTGCGAGGGTCTGGAAGTGACCCGGTCATGCTGCTGCTGACCAGTGAAGATTGCTGCTCAGCCACTTGGTCACTGCTGCTGGATTTGTGCAGGGGATCAGACTATTCTGTGCTCTGAGCCAAAGCTTCACTGCTGGGATCAAACCCATTACCACTGGAATCTGGGATGTCCTTTTAACACATGGCTGGAGGAGGTGACATTGTGCCCATTGTGTTGTGTAACATGCTAGCGTGCATGTTGAGGATATAGATCTGTGCTAAATCGTCTCCTCAGGCTTATGATTTGTAGATTTAAACCATAATCTCCTGGAGATTATATGAAAGAAGGAGTTGCAGGCACGAATGCATGAAGGGGATCCCTGTGTCGTGGTGCAAGAGAAAATTTAGGAATTGTGGCACTGGAAGTGGAAGAGACAGAGGGAATGTTATGGTAGGTTAAACAGAATGAGGATTGTGATACTTGTATCATGCAATCCAAGGAACATTTGCATCATATTCATTGTAGCTAATGTAGAAATTGTTTAACTCCTTGAGAAATAAGGGACTGGAACCAAGTAATCCCACAAGGTGGATGACCTAACCACAAAGCACTAATCGGGTTTTCCTTGGACAGATTATTTCAGTGTGGAACAGTGTCTCCTCTGCCTCCTTCTCAAGCCTTATTTTGCCTTGGGTTTTCTTTTTTTGTTGGCTTTCTAGGAAAAAAAACCAAAAAATCAAACCAACACTTTCATTGTTGCTAAATAGGTTAAGGAGAGAAAAAATACTGCTAATTTTTTTCATTATGATCAAAAAAGCCCCTTTCTATAGACTTTGGCACAGAAATATTATCACCTCATGTGACTTTTACAGTTTTCCATCGTTACAGTACTTTTTAGTACTTGATAATTTCCTTTAGGTTAGTTTCTATCCAGGCTAT